AACGTTTTTAAGCGTTTAGTTAATCTGCAAGCAATAGTAGTAGAATTATCAAGACTTTAAAAGTTTTTTAAAGTACGACTAAGCCAGACGGAGCAGCCATGTTTGTTTACATTTGAAACTTAACAGAATAGTATACTCAGTCAGTTTCTGCACTTTCAGTGTCATTTCGCATAGTGGAACCAAAAGTAAACTTTAAGTTTTGCGCACTGAAAAGTATGCCTTTTTGCACGCTGGCCGAATTGGATTTTTTTTGTGCGGAAACTCTAATTTTAATTGTATAAATTGTTTTTTAATAGTTGTAAATGTATTTGGTGTTTTATATTTTTCTATGGTTTTGAATTTTTAATAAAGATAATTTGTGTTTTTATTATTTTTGCCTTGCAGCGAAGTGAGAACTGAATTATTGAATGATAAATGTATCTCCAGTAAAATTCGAACAAATAACTTTAAATGAAATCCATCAAAAATTGTGCGTAATTTAATGCCGTACATGGAAGACAGATTTATTTTGATTAAGCTTCGCAAAGTTAATTTCATCCAGAAGCTTAAAACAGTTGTGAACTGCGAAATTAGCAAAAAATAGACCATTTTAGTATTTTTTGCGAAAAGAAGATTCATTGCATTTCGAGCCAAACGTAAATGGTCTAACTACTTAGGCTCGACATTATACAGTCGGAAGTTAAATTCCTGCCTTCAGAAAAGAACTTTTCTGGTTTAGAATGAGCCAGTAAATAACTAAGAATGTGTCTGCCTTTTGTTGGCGAGTTTTCTTGGTTCGTCATTCACATGTCATGATTTTCTACAGTGTAACATTTTTATACTTTTTTCTTGAGTTTTCAAAGACAGGTTGGACAAAATTTCGAAGAAAAGTTTTCTTAATTATGGACGGGTCCTGGAAATATTTGTCAAGTTTCCAGATTTCAACCAAAGATGGTGGAACTATGTCCTTTGCGCTTTTGAAAAATAAAAAAAAAATCGACGTAAAGAGGAAAATATGCAGAATTTAAATACATTTTATTTGACGCTTCCCTCGTCTTGTATGCGTCGGCAAGCCTTTCACTATCAGTAAATATTTTGCTCCGCCAGCCTTCCCTTCATTTGTGAGACAAATCTCGGGGGTTGTAAATGGAATGTATTCTTTCATGTTCAAAATTTTACTTTATCAGCAAACCCCACAGCGAATTTATCACTGCAGTTCTACGAACTGCCTTGGAGTTATACATGCAAAAATCTGACAGGAGGCGAAATTTGTCCCGAATCTTCTTTTTACACCGACGGTAGCTTTCTCACGCCACCAAACGGATAGGACAACTCCTCTGCACTTTCTTCCCTGCCTTGAAATTCTAATGCCTTATTCATGAGGGTTACGACGATAAAAATCTTGCAGTTGGATGCCTTAAGCTACTCCAGCTTTGAATGGGAAAAAATAATAAAAGAGAGGAAAATAACAGGACATAAAAAGCGCGCCCTTCTATACAATCCGAAATATTCCCAAAATTTGTTTATATGCAAGATTTTGTTTCGTTCTCCGTACATGGCAAAAGGAGTTGAATACATTTCGACATGTATATATTCCCAAGCTATTCAAAGAAGAACAATATCCTTGCCTTATGTTGCCACTTGTATTTATGTTAAGTGCGTTGCATTTCTTCTGAAAGCTTCTGAAACAAGAGCTGAGTTTATAACTACAGGAACGTGGACTTCTGAAATTGGTTTCCCACATTGAAGTAGCCTGGAATTAAAATGAAAGCGTTTTTTTACTTCCTTGTACGAAGTAAAAAGGAAGTATTGTAATCGCGAAAAATTTCGGGTATCATGTTTCAACGAAAATATCCATTTTGACCGCTATGGAATGCAATTTAACGATTTTTTGAGTGACATCTATACGTGAGAACAAAACAAAGGACTCCGTTTTGCGCTAAAATTATAAAACTGATTCAAAATGAATTCCAAAGAGATTTGTTCGTGGTGTCTGTGCGTACGTACGTATCCCGCATAACTCATAAATGAGTAGTCCCAGAATGATAAAAGTTTGTATATAGGACTGCTGTACCATGTAGATGTGCACTTCGTATTTTGGTTGCAATCGGCCACAGCAAACGTATATAAATACATTTATATATATATCCACTCTGTTACCCGGCTCAGTGATCTCAGTTTCTTCACTCTTATACGTTTGTAAATTGTACATTTTTTTCTTTAAAAATGATTGAATTATGTTGTTCTTATGCTTCCGGTTAAGGTTTTTATGCTTTTAGTAAATCTGTATGCAATAATATTAGAATTATCAACAATTTTAAAGTTGTTTAAGTGCCGCTAAGCCTAATAATGTTTTTGATGGCGGCCATTGCTTGTTTACATTTGAAATAGCAGAGTAGTGGATTTGTTGCCAATCTAGAGAAACGTAGCTTCGCAACAACAAAGATAACGCCTTCATTTATTATTGCGAATTAAGTCATGCTTAATCCTTTCTGGAATTTTCTCGAGGAAATAAGTGTTTAAGATTTACTTAATTTTTTATAATTTAATTTTTAATAATTAGTAAATTTTAATACAGATATTTTGAGTTTTTATGTATTTTTGCTTTGTCGCGAAGTGAGAACTGAATTAATTGAATGATAAATACTCAATCGTCTGTGTAAAACTGTTTCTCTTTTGTTTTGTTTGCTTAATTCCTTTTATACATCGTTCTAGCTTTATTACAGTATTTGAATAGAACATGTGGCAACGATTAGATAATGCTTTAAATGATAAAAAGTTTGTGCATTCTGAGTTATAATATGAACGAAATATAACACTTTTAAGTGAGTTGAGTTGAGTTGAGTTGAGAGCAGAATCTGGACACCCGTGCGGCTTACTAAGACTATTCGGGTCTAGTCCAGGTTCCGCAACTATCCGGGGCAACACCTCATGGGGACTATAAGGGCATACATTGGTCCTGTATACATGCTTACATAGTTATATAGCATAGTTACATTTCTAACATATGCTTACATAGTTACATAGAGTTCATAGTACATGCTTATATACAAGTAGTTCATAATACATAGATCTTTCATAATACTTGCTTACATAGTTCATACATATACATGCTTACATACGTAGTTCATACATATACATGCTTACATAGTACATAATATATTGAGCCTGCTACATAATACATACATATAGTTCATAATAGTTTTCATTGGCCATAGTACATACATGTTTCATAATATATTGAGCCTGTTACATAATACATACATAGTAGTTGATAATAATTTTCATTGGTCATAGTACATACATGTTTCAGAATATATACAGTGGGCCGTAATACATACATGTTTCATAATATATACAAAAAGATAAAAATAATAATAATAATAAAAAAATAAATAAATAAATAAAAGATAGAAGAGAGAGAGAAGAGAGATTGACAGGGAACTACTCCACACTGCACAAATCTGTTCCCAATTCCTCCAGTTTCTGCATTATCTAGCATATTTTGATGCGAAATGCTGGCTGTTTGATCAGATAACGCTTATGAGAAGTTGCCTGTTCCGAAAGCTGCACATGCCACTGTGCGGTTAGAGGGCATTGGGTCAAGTAATGGTCTGGTTTACCAATGCCTCCACAGACACAACTTTCGGTATTTGCAATTCCTCTCTCATAGTAATAGGAGGGGAAAGGCCCGTGGCCCGTCACAAATCTCGTTATTTGTGGGGATGACTCGAGACGATCGAGCGAAAACTTTATGGAAATATTCATAGGGTCTTCCTGCTTTGTTCGGTAGAGTCCCATTCCCATTGCCACTGGTGCTGAGCTGCTGTCCTTGTCACTTTTTTAAGGTGAGACCACGGGAGTTTGGTAATTACGCATTGTGCATCGATATTGTGAGATGCTTCTTTTGCTAGCCTGTCGGCTTCCTCATTACCTTGAATGCCGGCATGTGCCTTTATCCAAGATATGAGGATATTCATTGTCGACGAACGCTCCTTCAGCGTGTCCTAAATCTCCGCTATGATAGGAGAAGGATGTCTGGGATTTCGTAAGGCATATATGACCGAGAGGCTGTCTGTAAGAATATTAACAGTGGATCGTACTGGGGGGCTTGTTAACTCGATAGCTTTACGAATCGCAATTGCTTCAGCCTGGAAAACTGAATTATTCTGTCCCATATGACCTTTCCATGTTATCAGCGTTTCCTTGTTCTTAGTTACTATAAGGCCACAGCCTACTTGTCCGTCAACTTTTGAACCATCCGTATAAACGTAATAATGATCCTTTATGTCAGAGTCATCTTTCCATGATGTGTGGGCCGAGACTCCTTTTCCGTAGTTTTAGATTTATGTTTCTGTAGTAGAATATCTTAAATTCAAATATATGAAAGAATGAGCTTAAAAGATTATAGTTTCAGGTTTTTTTTATTATTTTATTTATATGATTTTATTTCTATTATTTTGTTTAGGTTAGAATTATTTGAATTTTTATTACAATGAGCAAGAGAAAGTTAACTTTGGAAGAAATTGAAGCTGCGGCTATGAGATGCTATGATTCATGGGATGATGAAGACTTTGATTTATTTGATTCTGACCATTATTCATATTCCCCTGAAAGCTCATCTGACGAAACTGATATGGACGATGATATTGATAATGTTATTGAAGACGTTATTCAAGCTGTGGTATCTGATGAAGAATTTGAGGATTTGACAGACCTACCCGACAGTTATGACCAGGAGAATAATATAATCACCACCGATGGATGGACAGAATATGTGGGCAGACAAAAAGTGTTTGAGTTTATCGGAAAGCATGGTTTGCAATCAGACATTTCACAACAAAGCACACCATTGGATATTTTTACTACTTGTTGATGAAGAGATCATTAACCACATTGTTGTTGAAACAAACAGATATGCAGGGCAAATTATTTCATCACAACCAAAATTGAAGCATTCCAGGATAAATCGGTGGAATGAAACAAATCATGAAGAAATGAAAAAATTCTTAGGATTGATGATGTGGATGGGTTTGGTACCACTAGGTCGTTTGGAAGAATATTGGTCACAAAATGGAGTCTACAACATGACAATTCCACGTGCGATATTGTCACGAAATCGTTTTCAGATATTACTAACTATGCTTCATTTTGATAACAATGAAACGAGCGATACCAGTAACAGGCTGCGAAAAATACAGCACCTAGTTGACATGCTACAACAAAAGTTCAAAGCCCTATTTTACCCAGGAGAAGATTTCGTTATAGATGAAACTCTTGTTCCATGGAGAGGGCGCCTAATTTTCAGGCAATATATTCCAAATAAATCCCATCGTTATGGAGTCAAACTGTTCAAGCTGTGTTCAGTTGATGGATATACATGGGGTCTTAAAGTCTATACTGGAAAGTCTGCATCTGGAGAGCGTGAAACCGGATTAGCAAAAAGTGTGTGTTTGGAACTAGCGGAATTACTTCTCAATCAAGGCAGAACTCTCTATATAGACAATTTTTATACTAGTTATGATTTGGCAAAGTGTTTGCTAGATAAATAAACGCATGTTGTTGGAACACTAAGAGCAAATAAAAGAGATATCCCAAAGGAAGTCCTCCAAGCAAACTTAAAGAAAGGAGAAATGATTTCCAGAGAAGACGAGAATGGCATTGTTGTGTTAAAATGGAAGGACACCCGTGATGTTCGGATATTGAGCACAAAACATGCACCTATATTTGTTTCAGTTGCACCTAGGAAAAAACGAGCATTGCAAATGGAGCAAGGGAAAAATACAAATCAACATGCTGCAACTACTTCAACAAGCCGAAGCCTTCTACAAAGCATGCCATCAACCAGCGCAAATCAATTTGCAGTCATACCCTGAACCAACTTATTATCTGAACAACCATCTACCAGCACAAAAACAAATAGACAATATCGAAGGGCTTTAGAAAAACCTGAAGCCATATTGGCATACAATAAAGGCAAAGCTGGCATAGATTTGTCAGATCAGATGGGGGCTTATGCCACAACACTAAGAAAAGGTGTTAAGTGGTACAGAAAACTAGGATTAGAATTGTTGTTAGGCGTTGCAGTAGTTAACGCATGGGTTGTATATCGACATGTAACAAAATCCAAAATGAAAATTCGTAAATTTAGAGAGAGAAAAGTTTTCCAGTTGCTTGGTATGGCTATAGATCCTGATCGTAATGAGCAAACAAGTAAAAAAACGCACCACCTGATTGATAGGATCCATGAAAATGGTAAAAAGGTACGACGTAAATGCCATATATGCTATATCAATATTTCTAACACAGAGGGTCGTGAACAAGCCAGAAAAAAAGCAAAAAGCTAATTTCCACATACTGTGACAATTGTCCTGACCAGCCTCAAATGTGTCGTAATTGCTTCAATGCTAAACACTGAATGTAACTTTATCCTGAAATAAAGGCAATAACATGATGTATATATATTCTTTTTACTTTCACAAATTGCAAATATATGTATTTATCATATATTTTATATATATTTATCACATACTCTCTCTCTATTTATATATATTCCCTTTTTTGTTGCATGTTCCAAATATTTAATTTTTCATAAAACTTAGCTCATAAAATCGTCACATATACCAATTTGCGCAAACCACGTATACCTAACACATCGTAGGGCGCCCAAAAATCAAGCTCCAATACGATTTTCATGTAACTGATAACATATTTGATAGCCATGGCCTGAAGTGTTGAAACACCATGGCTATCATATCGGATAGCCAGTGTCTTAACGGAAATATCACTGGATATCACATATGATAGCCATGGCAGTCAAAGTTTTAAGGTGCAAATTGAGCAATCGATTTTCTCTCCAGTAATATAATTCATTTCGCAGCAAAAGTGACGCTTTGTGACGGCTATTATAATTTCACTTTCTAAAGCAAAGAAAATGCTTTTGATGTAATAACACGCGTGTTAATGCGTGCATATTATTGCTTTAAAAATTTTATATTTTAGACTTTGCTGAATGATAGCACGCTTTGAAATATTTTAATTTGGGCAATGCTGCACATTTCTCTTAAATAGCCGAGGTTTGATTAAATCCGAGACAAATTAATATGATTGTGTTTTTCCGAGTGGCAACACTTTTTTTTGATATCACCGAGTATTCTGATTAAATTTAAAATATACATATCTTACGCTTTTCTAGAGTGGCAATTCAAAGCTTTCAGATCGCTGAGTTTCTGAGAAGAATTTCGTTAAATTAATATTAAATATATCTGTATTAAATGTTTTTCGGGGGGGAGTTAACGTCTACCTTTCCCAGGATCGACAAAGAAATTGTAGAAAGTTTGGTAACGATAGCCATAGGGGTAACTCGGGATATCACGAACAAACAAACAAACACACAAGCAGAAATTCTTCTTTATATATATACAGTAGACGTTATTTTGAAACAAAAAGACGTAAAAAATGTGTATGCCCTCAAACCTCGGGTTTCGAATCCTTGACCTTTCGAATATGCTTCCAATTACACCTCGAAGGCATGCGGAAAGGAGAGAGAAATCACCTTATATGCTCCCCCTTTAAAGGGGAAATCCTGGTGGTTAGGATAATTGCCAACAATCTTTTAGTTCAGGCGTCACTGTACAGTCATTGGTTATTTTGAAGTAGGAGATGTGAAAAATGTGCAATGTCCTTTCCGGGAGTCGAACCTCGACCTCTTTTGTGTTAATGTTGTAAGGTATTTATACCGCCTTTTTAGTGTGCCTTCGTGGTGTAGTGGTCTGCATGCTCGGCGCGTATTCCAGAGATCCGTGAGTTCGATTCCAGGCTAAGGCGTTGCTCATTTTTCATCTCTCTAGCTTCCAAAAAATCCTAATATCTCTATAGCATTACACCACGAAGGCATTCTCGAAAGAGGGAGAAAATACCTTTTAAACTTTTCCCGGATAATCGGAGTTCAATTTATTAAATTCGGTAAATTGGACGGTAATGGAAATTTCATACCAGACATGGGTTTAAATAAAATGCGTAGAACCTTTTAACATGAACTAAACTGCTTACTTTCAGCTTCTGTATATACATAAAAATTGCTTTTGTCAACTCAACCTCATTTCTAGCACACACTCCAGTCAAAAGCAAATAACTTAGAGATTCCCTTCTCCCTGTTTCTTTCGTCTTTGAATCGACATTCCTCTCCAAGAAAAGCTGAAGGTTAAAGAAAATAATCGGAGTAAACAAATAAAACGGAATTTAATTGTATTAAAGAGAACTCTAGCAGAAAACTATGCTACAAAAATAGAACGAAATAAAACAATGCCTGTCTTCGAATCCTTCTCATTGAGGATCTCCTCGAAAATCAAATGTACCGTGGAAGCAGTAGTAAAAACATAATAATAATAATGATTGAGGAATTGTCCTAACTTCCACTTCTACCATTTGGAGGAGAGCCAAAGAAGAAGAGGGAAGCAATATTTTGACCCAGATTTCCATCTTCTAAAAGATACGCAAATTGCAAAGCGCAGATGGGACCCGACTCGTACAAAGTCACCGAACAATTTTTCTCCCTCCAACGCAGATTAAGGGCAGATTTGTTGCTCTCAGAATATCATCATTAGGAACGGAATCACTGTAGCATACCGTCCTACAAATAACTGGAAATATATCCATAGGTTTTTATTACAAAAAGGGGACAGAAAAGAACTGTATAAACAACTATATAAATATATAATATACATACTATGTATTACAAAATGAGACCGAAAAAAACTGTATTAACAACTATATAATATATAATATATATATTATGTATTACAAAAAGGGGATGGAAAAGAACTGTATAAACATCTATAATGTATATAAATATATAATATATATATATATATTATGTATTACAAAAATGAGACGGAAAAGAACTGTATAAACAACTACATAAATATATATATATATATTATGTATTACGAAAAAGGGACGGAAAAAGACTGTATAAACAACTATATATATATATATATTATGTATTATGTATTACAAAAAGGAGATGGAAAAAACTGTATAAACAGTTACATAAATGTATAATATAATATTATGTATTTATATTGTTGCTGCATTACGTAAGTTCTAAATGAATTGGAGAATTTTTATTACAACCAATATCCCTAATTAAAACCGGTCAATTTCACACCACGAATATAAAAACAACGGACTTCTTATTTACACTGGTGTTATAAGAATATGGAAATATTCATATGTTACCATAATACGTTACCATCATACATTCATACTTTACCCATATTCATGTTATCATAAAAATTTTACCATAAAACTCAATTCATCGAGTCATGATAACTAGAACTAAGCTTAACTAAAACAGTGAAAAAGCCGTAATGAAATCAGAGAATGTAAAGATTTATCATCATAACGTCGTATCCCGTTTTGGGCCAAATTGGTGAAATTTCGTAAAGGTATTAATAATATGATCGGAACAATCAATAAGACAATAGCCGATATTTTTCTCTTGAGCTCAAGCATAAATCTCCAAAAATAACAACTTTGATTTTGCGGTCTTTTCTTAACGAAATAGGATGTAATTCAGTAAATTCTTCTTCCAGTATTTCCTTGATTTGTTATTGTGTCTGCTCTTGCTCTTCTGACACTAGAGCAAGACCACGATATTCATAATAGCAAGGAGACAAAATTGCGCTTGTGGTTATTAAGAGCCTTGGGCACGATACAAGTGACTAAGCTCAGTATGACTTTGCTCAGCTCCGCCCTAATTTTGAAGAAGAGTTCGAGTGCCTCCATACCGCACAGACACTGTACATTTACGAACACCTATGCTTTCTCCTAGATTCGAACACGAGTCCTTCGGTATAGAAGTCAGACTCAGTAACCACTGTCCCGGTTGGGCTGCTCGGCATACTTTTTTCACATAAAGATATGAAATATTTTATTTTTTTATCTGTGGAGACACGATGTGAAAATTTAGATTTATATTTACAGAATTCTTCCACTTTTCCACCTACACTTTATTGAAAGAAGCCTTGTAGCTGGAAATTCATATCTAAGATCAGTACTTAAGTAAATAAAGCTTGTGCTAATTTTTTCAATGTGTAGCATAATTTTCCTTGTGACTCTTCTAGAATAAATCCTGAAGTAATTTCAATTAAAATTCAGAAAGGCATTATAATTTTACCAAAGAAATGCAAGCATTAACAAAGCTACAATAATTTTCAGTCCAAAGGCACTTTGTCCCTGAGGGACTGTTTTGCGATTTTGCGTCGAATCACTCTGAATGTCCGTTTCACTTTTCAAACTGTTGCCACTCAATATTATCGTCCTGTATTATACTTGAAGAAATTAAATAATGAAGTATCTGCATAAAAGTATATATGTTTCTCGCAACGTGGTAAAACGACTGTACCTACAGCCTCCAATTTTGAATGACGTCATCCTACTGCGAATGTGGACAACTGGAAAGCCCAAATTTGAAATTTGTTTTATTATCAATTTCATATTCTGCAAAACTTTCACGAATTTTTGATTAACAAACTCAAGGATTTCAAAGCGAGTCATGGCAACGTTGTGCAGAAAAGACATTTTATCTCCAGCGCGTGAGACTGTGTATACTGCTATGCTGCTCCTAAACTTTTTTGGAATTTTGAAGTAAATGGCGTAAATGCGAAGAAAAGGATGCTTAATAATAAAGCTAAAAAGACAAAAAGAAATGAATTAGTTTGAGAGAGTGCAACAGCAGTCTAATAAACTCAGTGAGAGTGTACAAGAACCTTGACAAATTCTTTTCAGCGACCGTGAAAATCTGAGCCCTTTTAGATTTTTCCTTTTATTTTATTGCAATGTCACGCGCACTTCCGTAAAACCTTATTATTCCGTACGTAATAGACAGCATCGCTGCTAATGGCGAAAGAAGAGTTTTGCTCGAAATCCCTTTACTTGCATAGATTTGCTAAACTCACAGTTTAAAGTGGATCATTAGCGTAAATGAATGCATATAGGAATTGTTCCATTACATGCCTCATCCGATGCTTCTTCGCAAAAGCCGTCCAGACGGTTAGGGAAGCCAACTGCGATACTGAAGGACTGGGGTTCGAGTCCCGAAGAAGGCATGGATGTTTGTAAATGTAGAATATGTTTCCGGCATGGAACGGTGATACAAAATATATATCCTAAATATGCGGTAATCCGAAAGTCCTCTCAAGAGGCTGATTGTAGGAGAGAAGAGGGGTGGGAGACACTCGTATCCGTCCCTCCCGGGGTAGTCTCCATCAAAGTTGGGGAGGAACTGACTGAAGTTATTGTGTCACCTGTGTGGGGCTCAAAGCCCTAGCCAATGACAGGTGCA